TTCTTTCTTTCTTTCTTATTTTTTTAAAAGATTTTATTTATTTACTTGTCAGAGAGAGAAAGAGAGAGCAAGCGCACAAGCAGGGGGGAGAGGCAGAGTGAGAGGGAGAAAGAGGCTTCCCGCTGAGCAGGGAGCCTGATGTGGGGCTCAGGTCCAGGACCCTGGGATCATGACCTGAGCTAAAGGCAGACGCTTAACCAACTGAGCCATCCAGTTGTCCCTTTCTTTTTAGATTTATTTATTTTAGAGAGAGAGAGAGTGCGGTGGGGGGCGGGGGGGTGGTGAGCGGCAGAGGGAGAGGGAGAGAGAGACCCAAGCGGACTCCACACTGAGCATAAGGCCCTATTATCTCAGGACCCTGAGATCACCATCTGAGCCAAAACCAAGAGTCCAACGCTTAACCGACTGAGCCACCCAGGCGCCCCCATCTGGGCATTTCTGCAAATGGTCGGCCGCCAATGGCCAGGGCAGGTTTCGGGGGAGCAGGCAGCCCAGGCACATCTGGCGAGGCCAGCCCAACGCAGATTGCTGACACAGGCCTGGCCTTCTGGTTATCGGACTTACAGCTGGCCCTGGAGACCCTGGCTACGACTTCCAAGTAGATGACCCCAAGGGCCTCTGGTGGAGGGGTCCATGTGTTGGGGGTTGCCGTGCAGGGTTTGGCTGCTCTGAGAGGGAGGCTGTGCCTCTCTTGTGCCCCGGCAGACAGACAAGCGTGCTGTGCTGTGGCATCTTGCTTCGTGGTCCCAGCCCATGCTCAGAGCAGCACTGAGCCACCCCCGACCGGGGCCAAGACTACAGACGTTCCCTAAACAGTTGCTCTTAAGACATTGCCCCACTTCTACTTTACAAGTAAGTCACACCCAATTGCATCTTTAGTTGCTTTGTGTACTGTTTGCACGGGGCTCATCTCAGGGCGTGTTAATCCGGGAGCCTAGATTCTGCTGCAGGAAGAAGCTGGAGCCCGTCTTGTGCTGAAGACAGTTTGCTCCCCTCCACAGCCTGGGGATGCCCGTGGTAGGCTCAGAGCTCTGGACAGCTTGCTGCCCAGGCTGGGCCAAGGGGTGGGCAAGGGGGCTGAGAGGAACGCCTGTCCCCAGCGCTGCCCAGGACGCCATGCCCTCCTCTGTGCACTAGCAGAAGGTGTTGTGCTCAAGGGCAGCCTTGCTCCTGCTGAGGGGTCTTGCAGGAGTTCAGCAGATTCGGGCTCAGGGCTCAGGTTAGACCCGCCTTAACATTTTCCTCAGGCAAAACCAGTTGCAGCCATGTTATTCGGCCAAAGCCCCAGCCCCACCCAACCAGCCCCGAGGGAGCCCGGCTGCACCCCATTGCTGCTCGGTATGTATGTACTTGGGAGCCCACTCTCCTCTTGCATCAACCTTGGGGGGACCTGGGCTGGGCCAGAGCAGGGTGCGCTGAGACCACACCCACCTGCCCCGCCCCCCGCCCCCTTGCAGGGAGGGTGCTAGGTCCCAGGCTTCCCGCACACAGAGCCTCTGTGGAGGTTCCTAGGCTAAGGGCAGTGGTGCTTGGAACAACTGACTGTGGTTTCCCTTTGTTCTGCAGCCCCCTCATCCCAGCTCCCAGCTTCTTTCAGACATCTCCTACTTAGTATGTGAGGGGGGCACGTGAGACCCCCTCGTCACAGACAGGACCCCTAGGCCGGGAGAGGTTCAGTGCCCCAGACGCCTATGAATTTGACCTGAACTGGCTGCAGGGCAGGAAAGCCTGGATGGTGAGAGCTGGGCAGGGCCTCGGACACCCATGCCGGCCAGGCCCGGGACGCTTGGGCTGGCCTCACCCCTGCTGAGGACTGTAGCCCCCACAGGCACAGTGGCATGGGGACTGGGCCCCAAAAAGATGCCTGAGGCCGGGGGGGGGGCAGTGAAGCACCTGCTCTTCTGCCCTGATGGGCTCGCCCGGCACGCCCCTCCTCCCACCTCTCTTAGGCGTGCAGATGTTAACTTACCAAACGTGGCACTAGGCTTTTCCCGCATGTTCTGAGGGCCTTGAAGATACGGTTTCAGATGGGGGTTTACCCCCCATCTTTGTTGGCACCATTTGCGACTGTAGAACTGTTTGCCCCATTTCCCTGCAGCTCCCTCAAGGGACCGGGCTTCTCGTGGGCATCACAATCTCAGCCGCAGGACCTGGTCCAGAGCAGGCATCATGGGAGGGCTGCAGGGCACTGAGCTCGCTGTAACGCAGACCTCTGCTCCCCCTTCCCCCTCGGACACATGCGGGGCCCGCTCCCTGCTCTGTGGCGAGCAGTGACCGTCCCACCTGGGCATTTGGGGGTGAGCGTGGCATCTGCTCTGCTGGGACAGTAGCGGGTCCCATGGCGCTGCCTCTCAGAACTTGGAAGAAACGGCCCTGGCAGGACCGCGTGGGGAAGCGGCAGCCTTGGACTCCATCCTGGGCGCTGACCAGGTTCCTGCTCAGGTAAAGCCCGTGCTGGAGGCCTGGCCCCCAAGCTCCCCAGCAGTGGGTCGACCTGCACCAAGCTTCTGCTCCCGGTTCCGGCACAGGGCAGCCTTGTAAACAGGAAGCCGCGGTGCTCAGGTTCGGCAGCCCGGGCACAAGATGCTCTTTCTGTGCTGGGGGCTGGGCCCTGCTGGGGAGAAGGGGCGCCAGCAACGTGTTCAAGGCCCCGCAAGTGACGGCGGGCTTGGTGCAGGCCAGGCTCCGACCGGCCGGGCCACTCGCTGTGCACGAGGTTCCTGCTCTCGCCTGGCGGGCGGCACCACGGGCCGGCCTCCTGCTCCCAGATGGTGGCAGAGGCTCAGCTGGGTGCATGGGAATTCAGCTTCCAGGTGACTTGTCCAGATGAAGAGCCTGGGACGTGGTGGCTGACCAGGAGGGAGGGCTGGACCCTCCTCTGTGGAGAACAGACTCAGTCCGGAGTCTGAGGATGAGCCCCCGGGCGTCCCAGCTCCACCAGCCCCAGCTCTGCCTTGTTTACCGTATTTGAAGGACTTGTCACACTCAACAAAGTTTCCACTCTGGTCCTGTTTCTAGTTGGTAAATACATCGTATTCAGTGAATACTAAGAAGTCGGGAGAGTGTAGGCTGCATTATAAGCCTCGGAAAATAAACACTTCCTACTGTTAGAAAAGGGAACTTACTTTGATATCAAAATCACAAGACTCGGGCTGCTGCTTTTGTGCTTTAATGGTCGGCGCTCAAAGGAAAACATCTCAGTCGCCCCAGCCGCGCACCTCCCTCCACGCACTCATTTGGTCTGTTTACAAGTTACGGGGAGATAGAAAAATAGCCCTACAAACTCTGTTTCCGGCATATAAAAACCGAGCGGAAAGCGTCTCAGTAGTCACTACCTAACACAAAGCATCTCAGGAAAAATACAACACAAGTTTAACTTCTGCAATATTTTTTTCATATAAAACACTAGTAAAATAGGCTTCTTAAAAATTAAATAGTGAAATACCACCAAATTATATACATCGTTACAGTACAAGTGAATGAGGCAAAATATCCAGTTCTCGGTTTCTCGGGCGGGCGCCGGGAGGCAGGTGGCCTGAGTCTCTTTCTCCCGAGGGGGCAGCCGGTTTAGGAAGAGCGGCTGACAGACAGACACACGGACAGATGGGAAGAGCCGAGTCGCCCAGCAAGACCAGCGTTCCTCAGGGACACAGCAGGCACCCTGCCTGCCACTCCAGCTGTCCTGCCCGAGGCCCGCGCTCTGCTCTGTGGAGCCCCGACTGTGGCCCGGCCGGCGGCCAGCATGGCTAGAGCTCACCCGGGGGCGTGGGGTGGTGGTGGGGGGGGGGGCCCGGACGCCTGACTCCCAGCTCTCTGCACCCGAGCAGGCCCCCGGAGCCCCAGGTGGTCGCAGTGGGCCCGAGGGCAGGCGGCGGGCGTCCAGCCGGGTGACAGTGGCGCCCTGGCCCCCTGCCGGGTTGAGCCACGACTACGTTCGGCGCCGCTTGGCAGCGCTGGGGCTGGAGGGGTTGCTGTTTGCCGTCAGGACTTTGTCGGTGACCCGGCTGCGCTTCCGCTTGTCTGCCCCTTCCTTCGACCCCAAGTCCGAAGGGTTCTTGTCTTTGCTGGACTTTTCTGTTGCTTTCCCCAAGCTTCCTGAAGACGAAAAAACTGGGAGACAAAATCATTTGGCTGAAAACAGAATATCCAGAATTTTATTTCGTCTTCCTGCTAATTTATGCACCTACACACAGGCCACTCTGAGCTGGGGTTGCCGTGGGGCCTGCAGAGAGCTGGGTCCTGCTGAGGATGCGCCCCCCTGTGGCCTTGGGCTGCAGGACCCTGCCCGTCCACCCACTGTTCCTGCCTCGCGCAGCTGGCCTGTGCCCACAATGCGCGCTTTCTGCCCACCTGACTGGTGCTGGACCCGAGGCCACCCCGGGGCTTGTTCGTGGTGTGGGTCGCCCACGCCGCCACGTGAGGCTCCCGCCCAAGCGAGGGGAGGAGTGGACAGGGCAGCTGTGGCCGCAAGCCAACTGGACACCCAGGCTGGGGATGTGGGGCTGCACGCAGGGCCCAGGGGAGGGTCAGGGGTGCCCCCCACTCACCATCGTCTGCCCCGTTGTGGGGGTCCACATCTTCCTTCATTTCCTCCTTCATTTCCTCTTCAATGACCACTTTTCCTGTGGGGCGACAGCTGACGTTTACCAAAACGGTGGGAGACGTGGCCCTGCCCAATGCTGCGGATGGCTCAGGCCGGGGATGGCTGTGTGTGTGGTTCTCAGCTGCCGCCAGGCCGCTTTTAAAGAGAGCCGATTGTTCTTGAACAAGTTCCCTCCAGTCCCCGAGGCTCCCCCAGACCCCCCCAGTCCACCTGGGCCAAGAATCTCCACGCCAGCGACCCTCACCTCCTCCCTGAGGCTCATGACCTTCACCCTGACACCACCGCCCCTGGCCCACGTCCTGCCTTGTAACTCCCCAACTGGACCCAACCCGCTGGAGCCTTACCTTCTCGGACCTCGTGGATGATTTCTTCCGGAAGGACAAAGTTCCTCTCTGGGTTTGGGAATGGAAGAATCTCAGATTCGTGCTGATGGCAAAAACGGCGATTTTTGTTATAGAAACAAAAAAAACCGTGATTTTAGCAAGTCACCAAAAACGTGTAAGAGCCAATTTAGCAACACCTGACAAACGCGCACATGGTCTCAGAGAGCTGCGCACGTGGGCGCGAGCGGCCGAAGAACGTTCTTTCTGCTCTCGGTCTATGAGGAGCTGGGCTTTCCTAACAGACCCACAGGAGGCAAAGCTACAGGGCCAGCCCCCAGCCGAAGTCACCTCCTGGCACGGCCCCAGGGGCAAGGGCGGGAGGCACTGGTCAGGCTGCCCCACAGCTGCCCCGGCCTGGCTCCCTCCCCACCAGCGTGTGTTCAGAGTGCAGTGACCGCCCGAGGAAAGGCCGTGGCACCGTCGGTCCCGTCTTCGTGGGCAGGAGCCCACAGGCACAGATGGTGCCGGAGAGGCAAGCCTCCGCCTGGGAAACCAGGTAAAGCAAAGTGGTGTGAGGGGCACCGAGCGCTTACTGGAGTTCCACTTGTCTCACGGGCCAAAAGGGACAGAGACCCTGGAGACACAGGGCCCCCAGAGAAAGGGAAAGGGCTGCTGGCAGAAAGGGTCTGGACTGTGACTGAGCAGACACGGCTCCTCTCTGCAGTCTGGGGGCTGTGTTACAACGAGCTGCTAGCCAACAAACGAGCTCATCAACATCTCCTGGAGCTTCAGAAACCCCGCAGCTCCTGGGTCTGCGGGTCCCCCAGCAGTGGGGTCCACGGACTCATGCTGCCAGGGTCCCGCCTGACCCCAGCAGCAGCCCCAGAGAAGCATGGGGGTCTAAGGAGGTGACAGCCTTGACGTCTTGCCTAGTTCTGAACAAGGGATAGGTGGAAAGAAGCTGGAGAGGAGAAGGGAGAAGAGCTGCCTGTCCCGGACGAAAATCCCCAAGTGGGGCCCCGCAGCTCGCCAGGGTCATGTGGGCCTGGTGCTGGGTGTCAGTGTCTGTCTCCCGGGCTGCACCAGGGGCTCCCCCAGGACAGGAACCCTGCTACCCTCACGTCTGTGTCTGGCTTCTGGCCCCCACTGGTCTAGAGTCAAGGCCCGGGGAGTCTGGGGACCAGGTGACACCATGATGAGACAAGTGTGGGGGTGAGGCCCCCGTGGGGAGCAGCTCCTTCAGCGTGGCAGCTGGTCCTTGCTGCACTGCTCCCAGGACGCTTCCTGCGGGCCACGCAGTCAGTCCCCAGAGCAAAGCTTTCACCTTTATCCCCTCTCTAGGGTATGACAAGGAGATGCAAGTGACCTGCCCAGAGCCAACAGGAAGCAAGGGCAGCACTGGGTCTGGATAAAGAAGGCCTCGGCTGGGAGGGCTGGTGTGGCCCTGAGTCAGCCAGGGAGGCAGAGCCTTCCTCAGCCCGGCACAAGCCCCTGCCCCTCTGCACACCTCTAACCCCCACCCCCACCCACTCTGGGGCCCTGGCCCCTCAGCTCCTTGACCCACCAGCTCCTGCTGCCACAGGGCCCTGACACCTGCTGTTCCGAGGAACATCCCTGTTCCTTTGGGCCTTTGTGGTCACCTAGTGAAGCCGCCTGCCTTCGGATGAAACTAGATGGCGGTCCTGTGAGGACGGGGACCCTGCATGCCTGGTTCTCAGATGAGCCACCAGATTCACCTGACTCAGACTCGGATCCCGTCACCTTCCTGCCTAGAGCACTCTGGGGCCTTCCGCCTCCTCCCACGGGCCTCAGCTCCCCGGTCATCTCCCTGGAGAGACTGTCACTGACCACCCCGTGTGAAGGAGGTTCTGTGAGGGGAGCCAGCTACTGTCACCGAGTTTGGGTTTTTAGTGAAACTACTTGGAGCCCCCTTGTTAATGGGGGATGTGCACAGGACAGAGGGCCCCCTAAAGACGGGGCCTGGCAAACAGATGGAGGAGCTGTGTCTGGGGGAGGGTGGGATCTGGCTCACCAGGGCCTGCATGTCGTACATAGTGCTCAGATGGTCCCAGATGACCTTAGATGGGACCTGCCGACCAATGTTCTGGCTGAACTTGTCCCGGATACAGATCATGTGGAAGTGTCGGTTCACACCTGTGGGAGAAAAGAGCTTGTGAGGAGGACTGGGCTAGCAAGTAAGAGGAGACGAGAGAGGTGGTAGGCAGGATCAGCAGAGGAAGGGTAAAGATGGAGACAGGAGGGTGGGTGTAGGAGATGCAAAGAGAGGGTATAGGAGGGAGCAGGAGTGGAAGAGTATAGGCAGGTGTGGGGTTGGCGATGGGGTGGGAGGGGTGGGCACAGGAGAGGACAGAGGAAGGATATTAGGGAGTGGAGGGATGCAGGAAGGTACAGAGAGTGGAGGAGAACAGCAGTAGTGCAGGACGGGGCAGGGTTGGCGGAGGTGGGGGGTGGGCTCAGGAGGGGACAGAAAAGGGTACAG